GGACAATATTTGGCTGAGATACAACTATTTGAAAATCTGGAATCTGAGGGTGCAAAAAAATCTAAATATTGAGAAAATCATCTTTAAAGTTGTTCAGATGAAGTTCTTAGCAATGCATATTACTAATCAAACATTAAGTTTTGATATATTTACGGTAGGAGATTTACTAAATATCTTCATGGAACATGATCTTTACTTAATATCCTAATGATTTTTGGCATAAAAGAGAAATGTATAATTGTGACCCATACAATGTATTGTTGGCTATTGCTACAAATATCCCCCAGCGACTTATGACTGCTTTTATGCTCCAGGGTCACATTTGGCTTTATTATAAATTCTCCCCAAAAAGTAACTTGTCATTGTAGAATAGGCTACAGCATGAATTTATAAATGATGGCAGCGTTTTTATTGTAAATATATGCCATTGTTCAGCATGACTGACATAATTTGAGTGTTTTGTGTGTGTTTTTCCAGATTATTCCTGGTTTGATCCTGTCAGACATCAAACCTGCCAAAAAGATGAAGTTTAAGACGGTGTGTTACTTGCTGGTGCAGCTCATGCACTGCCGCAAGATGTTCAAGGCTGAGATTCCCTTCTCCAACGTCATGAACTGTGAGGATGGGGACAAGGTATGATGAGACTCTGAGAAAACACATAATGCTGAATGAATCCAGAGCGGTTTCCCTGTGTCTGCTGATACTGACGTGTCTGAGATCTGCTGTTCAGCTCATGCTGTCACTCTCACAGCCTCATCATGTGGTCATGTGATCGTGTCTGTGATTGGCAGAGGAGGGTGCTGCGCTCGGCTCCGGAGAAGCTGAGGAACCGTACCTCCACGGCGGCTAACGTGACCCAGAGCAGCCCGGGGACACGGGTCAACCGCTACATCAGCCGTCTGATCGAGGCCCGGCAGACGGAGTCCGACACGGCCGACCTGCACTACCTCACGCTCACCTACAGAGACTCGGAGCGAGAGCGCAGGGTGAGAGTCCTGTGCTGAGTTTAACCGGGAGTTACTGTGCTAAACAGGACTGGTTTTGACCCCAGTGTATGACACAGTGCTGATATGTGACCCTGGCCCACAGAACCAGTCATAAGGGTCAATTTTGTGAAATTGAGATTCATACATCATCTGAAAGCTGAACAAATAAGCTTTCCATTGATGTATGGTTTGTTAGGATAGGACAATATTTGAAAATCTGGAATCTGAGGGTGCAAAAAAATATTGAGAAAATCATCTTTAAAGTTGTTCAAATGAAGTTCTTATTATTAATCAAAAATTAAGTTTTGATGTATTTACGGTAGGAGATTTACAAAATATCTTCATGGAACATGATCTTAATATCCTAATGATTTTTGGCATAAAAGAGAAATGTATAATTGTGACCCATACAATGTATTGTTGGCTATTGCTACAAATATACCCCAGCGACTTAACACTGCTTTTGTGCTGCAGGCTCACATTTCTGTGTGCACTGTAAGCAAGTCCCTGTGATTCAAACACTGTAACAGTGTGTCCTAACGAGAATAAGATGCAGTAAGATTCTAGTGACAAGCATTTTGTCTGTCCACACTAGATGTGACAAAGAACCTGTTTACACCTGGTCATGAAAAGACCAGGTGTAAATGCCATCCGAAACTTTTCCGATCACTCAAACTACTTCAGGACGTGGTCTGAGACTCACTCCAGACGAAACTGGACAAGTGTACATTCCCTGTAGGGAACTTTCTGTACAGGTTTTTAATTGTTTTTTACAAAAACAAAACAAAACCAAAAAAAAGCAAACCTCCCTGCAACATTCTGGAAAGATTGGTTTTAGGTTACAATTAAACGAACCTATAGAGAAAGTTCCCAGAACGTTCCTATTTGACTCCCAAAAAATAACCATATGGGAATGCTGGTTTGCTGGGATGAGCGTGTGGCTTTGAGCTGAATCATGTGTATGTGATCTGCTGTGAGGTCAGAGTATTTCAGCATGTGTAAGCTGAGTGTTTGAGCGTGCTGTGTGCTGTGTTTCTGCAGTATCATCAGCTGAATGACGAGTACTTCACCGGCGCTGTGCTTCTGTCTCTCGTCCTCACGGCTCTGATCGCAATCCTCTACCTGCTCATCATTCCACAGTACGTACAGCGGAGCGTCACCCCATCACGCCGGATCCTGATCCCACGCAGAAACAGTGGCTATGTTTACATGCACCATTTTTGGTTCAATCGGACTGAATTAATTCTGACTGTTGAATCTGAATGTAGTTTTCACAGAAAGTGACTGTAGAGTTTGACTGAAATGTGGAGTCAGAGCTGAACGTGAGAGAAGCAGGCGTTCTCATCACACAGTGTTCACTCTTCTGAGCGTTCACTGTTATTTTCTCTCGTGTTGTTGTTCTCAGGGGGACGCTTGTGTTGGTGTTGCTGGTCTTCTGCATCTGTTTCCTGGTCGTGTGCATCATGTACCTGCACATCTCTAGAGTTCAGGTAAAAACTCACTCAACACCACCTTCACCAGTCCAGCTGAACCGTCGTGTGTCATCTTCAGTTTCACATCGTTTCTAACTATTTATGAGCCAGATTTACTAAACACAGATGAGAGTGGAACGTACTGCTGATAACACAGATTCATTTCCATAATGAGCAACACAATCTACTGAGAGCAGCACAAATTATTGTTGCAAATGAGCAGAGCCGATGTTAAAAGATGCTTTACTGGGTGTTAAATAACGACACAAATACCAATAAACTGAGGAAGCCTTAGTAAATCACGCTGCATGGTTGATTTAAATACTTAAATCTTTTTAGAAAGGGAAACTCCTGCATATGCATATGCAATAAGATCAGTCAAAAAATAACTGTGTGCACGTAATTTAATTTACGTTTTTTTCCAGAAGCTGACTGGTTCATATCCGTAAGCTGATCTCTCACCATTGATCTCTGTGTCTCTGTGTGTCTCTGTGTGTCTCAGTGTTTTCCAGGGTGCCTCAGCATACAGATCCGGACCGTCCTGTGTGTGTTCATAGTGCTCTTAATATACGCCGTGGCCCAGGCCTGTGTGGTAACTCACTCTTACATCACTTTACTGGAGCTGAACTTGCTGCATATCTCAGATTGATTTTGTTGCAGCCTAGAATTAAACTGCTGGTCTCGTCTGGCCAGAGGCACTATTTGCCTGTTTAATACTGTAAAGCTGTTTTGTAAAAAGCGCAATATAAATAATGGTGACTTGACTTTAGTGCTCAGGTTCAGTCAATCCAGACTGAAGAATCACAGAGATTCATAACACATGAAACATCTTTTCTTCATTAAACCCTTTCTCTCTCTCTGTGTGTGTCAGGTGGGCTGCATGCCGTGGCTCTGGCCGACTGACTCCACGCGCTCCATCGTGATCATCGACGTGTCCACAGGCCTGAACCGCACCATGGCTGAGCTGCCGTGTGAAGGAGCGCAGTACGCCTTTCTGTGCTGCATGCTGGGGACGCTGACCGTGGCGCTGTTCCTGCGAGTGTCCTGGCTGTCCAAACTCCTGCTGCTGCTGCTGCTGCTGGTGCTGTACATCACCGTGCTGGAGCTCAGCGGATTCAGACGCTCCTCGGGGTGAGAGATCACTGGATACACAGAAAAACACACAAACCATCACAACTACTGATCAATGAAAGCTAAGCTCAGAATCTTCACTACCAGTCAAAAGTTTTTGAACAGTAAGGTTAGTGAGTGAAGTGATGTGATGTGTGGCCAAGTATAGTGACCCATACACAGAATTTGGGCTCTGTATTTAAAGCACACACGCACACACACACACACAGCAGCGAACACACACACACACACACACACACACACACAGCAGCGAACACACACACACACACACACACACACCCCCGGAGCAGTAGGCGGTTCGGTTCTTGCTCAAGGGTCTCACCTCAGTCGGGGTATTGAAGGTACTTTATACTGACTCCAAGGTTTTGACACATTATACACAAGTCATTATACTTCCAGTGTATAATGTTACAAAAGCTTTTCATTTCAGATAAATGTTGATCTTTGGATCTTTCTATTCATAAAAGAATCCTGAAGAAATGTACTCAACTGTTTTGAATATTAATGATAATAATAATAAAAATGTTTCTTGAGCAGCAGATCAGCATATTATACTGATTTCTGAAGATCATGTGACACTGAAGACTGGAGGAATGATGCTGAAAATTCAGCTGCGCATCACAGAAATAAATTATATTTTAAAATTTATTCACATAGAGAGCAGTTATTTTAAATAGAAAAAATATTTCACAATATTACTGCTTTTGCTGGACTGTGGGTCAAATAAATACAGGCTTGGTGAGCAGAAGAAACATAAAAAATCTTACTGTTCAGAAACGTTTGACAGGTAGTGTACGAGCTGTCCATTAAAAGCTTGAGCTGAATCTCTGTGATGGTGTGTGTTTGGAGTGCAGGACGGTGTTGATGAGCGCTCGCGGTCTGGAGCCCGTCCTCTCTCTGCTGATGTTCTTCACCACTCTGGCCCTTCACTCCAGACAGATGGAGCTCAAGCTGCGCCTGGACTTCCTCTGGGCCACTCAGGTACAGCAGCGCATCACACACTCCTGACACTGCAGTCACAAAAACATAAAACAACAGCAACAACCTCCCACCGCTGCCATCCATTCATTCTCAGCACCGCGCATCCTCTGTAGGGTCGCTGGGACATTAAAATGTTTGAATGTTTTTGAAAGAAGCCTCTTCTGCTTATCAAGGCTGCATTTATTTGATAAAAAATGCAGTAAAAAACGGTATTATAGTTAAAACTAAAAATTAACAGGGTTGGTGTAGAGTGATAGAAAATACAGTTTGAAAAATACATTACACCTATGGAGAGTCCTCATAAACCATAAAAACTAATGTTTGTGTGTGTGTGTGTCTGCCTGTGTGTGTGTCTGTCTGTGTGTGTGTGTGTGTGTGTGTCTGTGTTTCTGTGGGTGTGTGTGTGTCTGTGTGTGTGTGTGTGTGTGTGTGCAGGCGGAGGAGGAGAGAGACGGCATGGAGAAAGTCAAACTGGACAACAAGAGGATCCTGTTCAACCTGCTGCCGGTTCATGTAGCTCAGCACTTTCTGCTGTCTAACCCCAGAAACATGGTGAGAGCTCGCCGCAGCGCTGTTTGACGGTGATGTTGTGTCATAAACACCGAGCTGACAGTGTGCTTCTGGTGTTACAGGATCTGTATTACCAGTCCTACGCTCAGGTTGGGGTGCTGTTCGCTTCCATTCCCAACTTTAATGACTTCTACATCGAGCTGGATGGAAATAACATGGGCGTCGAGTGTCTGCGGCTGCTCAACGAGATCATCGCCGACTTCGACGAGGTCATTTCTTAACATTAAGCAGAAAATATAAAAATATAATCTTATTCAAAACATTAAAAATTATAATAGTATCTCAATTATGTTAAAATGACACTGTTTCAGTTAATGATTCTTTTATCTCAAGCAATGACAATCCAAGCTGAATCCATTCCATTTTGTATTTCTACCATTTTGCAGCTGATGGATAAAGAGTGTTATAAAGACATTGAGAAGATCAAGACCATCGGCAGCACGTACATGGCAGCGGTGGGTTTGGTGCCCACCATCGGAACCAAGGTCACTGATTCAGCCACACTGGACATGATGCAGAGTAATACTTACAGAGCATCTGTGAACAGCGTTCGCTTACTCCTTTACAGGCAAAGAGATCCCCTGCGGAGCACCTGAGCACCATCGCAGACTTCGCCATCGAGATGTTTGACGTTCTGGATGAAATCAACTATCAGTCTTATAACGACTTCGTCTTGAGAGTGGGTACGTCTTCACACGTGCTGTGTTTGACTCTGGTCCTTTAGCAAATCTGTACCTTTAGCTCTGTGTCATCTCGTCCTCATTCTCAGTGAATGTTCTGGATGTTCTCTGATGGTTTATGTGTGAATGCTCAGGTATTAATGTGGGTCCGGTGGTGGCCGGGGTCATCGGGGCCCGCCGGCCGCAGTATGATATCTGGGGAAACACGGTGAACGTGGCCAGCCGCATGGACAGCACCGGAGTGCCTGGGAAGATACAGGTACAACATTCACTCGAAATATAATTCTGTGACTGTGTGAATATCACAATAATGCATGCATTCTCTGAATATCATGCAAGTGATTGCTTGAGCAGTGAATGGGAGAGTACCACAAATATATATTTTTGCATTCCCATTTGCTGAAATAGCAAAGGAAATAATCCACGATAGTGTTTTCACGACTTTTAATCAAAGGAAAAAAATTGAGAGAGACTGATAACGGCAGTCAGAAGAGAGAACGATGTCAAGTTTACCGTCCCTCCCGTAGAAACACCCTCGCATTAGCCTTAACTGTTTTTTTGTAATTTGATATAATACAAAGAATAGTGTTATAAATGTACATGCATTTAAAAAAAATACAAATATGAAATACTTTCGAGGATTTATGATGCTGATGACCGTTAAACGCGTCGTCACAGTGTTGTGGAAAGGGTCCGTTGAAATAAGACCACATTAATTATAAATAAACTCAAATATCTGAGTTAGTGTAAGTTTTTGTCATAGTAGCAAATGTAGTTATTCAGGTTCACTTAAATTGTTTACTTGCATTTACTCTATATTTACATGTGTATTTATATGGTGTGCTGTATTTTAAGTGCACAGATGTTTCACCAAAAACTAGTTTTAGAGTGGATATGATATATGATACACGTCTGTATGGGCGAATTTAACAAAAAAACAAAAAATGTTTTATCAGATGTATTTTTAATTACATGCATATACTGTATCTTGTAGCATAGGCTGTACCTTCTTTCATTTGTGATGATTTAGCAATTGATAACACTAACAACTTCAATCAAATGTACATAGATATTACAGTAGTGAGACTTTGTGCTAATAATGTCATGATAAAACAATCTTTATGGTTCTGAACTGGCTTTATTTCTTTATGCTACATAACTGTGTATAACCCACAGTACATGTTTTGGACCTCCATAATGACACATGCATGCACAAATAAATGTGTGTGTACAGTATATTGATTTGAGCATGGCTGATCTTCCAGGTGACGGAGGAAGCGAACCGTCTGCTTCAGAGCGACTATGATCTGGTGTGCCGTGGCAATGTCAGCGTGAAGGGCAAAGGTCAGATGCTCACATATTTCCTGGAGGGTAAAGCGCAGGATCCGGGGAGCCGAGCGCTGCATCACACCGGCGTCCTGGAGCGCAGGGTTCACGCTATCGCCCGCTCCAGCAGCACACACACCAAAGCCGGCAGCACCGCATCCATGGCCTCGGGGCTCGCCGCCCGGGTCGCTCAGGGCTCGCGGAGCACCGCCGCTAACGTGCCTACGCTAGGAGAAGAGCAGGAGGTCAAAGGGGGGGAGATGTAGGACCAATCGCACACTACAGTATGAAAGAATGAACCGTCTTCCCTTTATTCACCTTCTCTGCTCCAGCTGTGAACGGATCTTCACTGCACGCTCCTTCAGAGACATCACATCAGTTCCTCCTGGATGAACTCAGGTCCTGTCCTGCATTTCTTTCCCTCGTGAATCATGAAATTACTGGTGTGTCTGTGAAAGCCGGTTCAAGTCGACATCCATGGATTCCCAAAGGATTCTGTCTCGCTGCAGGAACACCCAGACACTTCCATAATGTACTTAAAGTGCTCATTTTGTACTTAATATACTAAAAATGATTCTTTAGATAAACATAAGATCATCTAAGTGTACTCAACTGTGCTATTTTGGGACACCTTGACTATATGAAATAAACTGTGCTTTTAACATACTGTCTTTGTATTTAAAAAACGTATTTATTTACCACTTGTAGTACACTTGAACCATCTTTCATACACTAGTACACTCAAGTGTACTACAAGCGCTGACTAAATACAGTATTTTAAATACAGAGATAGTATGTTAAAAGCACATTTTAGTTCATATTCACAGTGTCCCAAAATATCACAGTTGAGTACACTTAGATGTTCTTAAGTTTATCTAAAGAATCATTTTTGGTATATTAAGTACAAAATGAGTGCGCAAAAATAGAGCATCTTAAGTACATTATGGAAGTGTACTTTTTTTTTAAACCTGGGCAGTCAGAGCCTTGAATGATCTTCTGCAATGCGTCATTTCTCAGTTTTTATGCCAACTTCTTTTATGAGCTGTACATAGTAGAAGTTCTTACAATCAGAGTTGTGTATTTTTTGTATTAAACTCTCCAGTGCATTTGAATGAATGTGGCACGTTTATGATATATATAGAGCAGCAATAGCAGCAGTACGTGCTCTGCATCAGTGCACTAGATTGTGATTCTCACACACTCCTTCATCTTCATCATGTTGCTAAAGTTTGAGACTGGAGAAATCAAAGATCTCCGATGTTTCTATCTTGAAGACACATTTACAGCTGCAAATAATGTAATAATAAGCTGTAATAATATCATAAAAATCAAGTTATGTGACACTTCCAAAGCCTTACACCAGGACACAGAATGATTATATATCAGTACACACTGTTTCAAAGCAGCATGTGTGTACATAGAACAAGAGAAATCAGGGAGTTTGATAACAGCTTCATCATCATCATCCTCAGCTGCAGTCACACTGATAGACTGTTCTGAGACTATACACTACAATCTGATATTAATATTCATACATACAGTGGAGTCCAAATCATCTGACACTGCACTAAAAAGCTTCAGTTTCACATTCTCATGATTGAATGTAATTTTTTATTACAAATTGCATTAGTAGAACAAATAGAGTGAGGTGTAGTTACTGGAGTGAAAAAAAAAATGAATGTGAAAGTGTCACATGATCAGTGACACGCGTTTACTTACGGTAATGGAGCGTTTGTTATCTGTTGTTTACCAATGCTCTCAAAATGTTAGCAGAAAAACATTATTTATACATCATTCATGTAATGTTTTATTTCTGAACCATTTTAATCGTTCATCTAATGTTTTTTAAATGTCACCACTAACTACTCAAAACATCCAAAGAACATTCAAAAATAACATTCCCATAATGTTTGCAAAATTATCAAATGCAGTGTTTCCTTAATGTTTGTATAGCCTATACATTATATATATATATATATATACCCCCACTTTGAACATTCATAGAACGTTCAGAAATATTGTTTTCATAATTTAATGGGAATGTTAGCAAAACATTTGCAGAGCATATTTTTGTCAGCTGGCTATTTATTAAATGTCATAACTTAGTTTAAATTATGTTTCTTTCCAGATTTAAACTATATTTTGTATCTTGGATTGTCAGTGTGGTGTCAGGCATTTGGACCCCACTGTGTGTGTGTATGTTGTGATAAAGTGTGTGATTAGCAGGGACAAACCTCCACATGCTGAATATGTGCCAATTAAATGAAATCTCAATCTGAAGTGTAATGATTGGACATGATTTTGTCATCAGCATTCACTGTAATAATATCAGTGTGATATTCACATGACTGGAACTATTAAATACTCTGTTTTACACAGGAAGAGAACTACGTGCACAAGAGGTCTTCACTCATGAATGTGTGACGTGTTACTGAGGCTTATGACTGAGCGAGGCGGGTGGTTTGATGTTAAAGAGGTCAGTTATGTGTAGTCTATGTGGGCACAAGGGTACAGTGATCATCTACTGACACGGAGGTCAACAACAATTGAAGTACAACTGTTCTCAACGGTTGACTATTATTTTGTTTTTAGATGTGCTGCCTCAAAGACTCAGCTCGGGGGGGACTAGGGAGTGCTGGGATATGAGCCCAACAGTCTGGTATTGTCTTTCTATGGTGGTTTGTTGGGTTTGATCAGTTCTGTTTTTTCCCCCTAGTTCCTGTGTTTTATATCTGATGGTGATGATGAGGATGATGATGACATTTATTGTTGAAATATATATCTGCATTTGGATCCTCTCTTGTTGTCTGAGTACACACACACACACACACACACACACACACACACACACACACACACACACACACACACACACGCACACACACACACAAACTCACACACACTCACACACAAACTCACACACACACACACAGCGTATAGATCTCTGTAGACTGGTGTGTGTTTACAAGCACAAAACTCATTCTCTGATTCTGTACACTTATTCTGATTCGGTTTGTGAGGAGAAACAGTGACTTTTTGTAGCAGGTGAGATGGGTAACCTACAGGACGTGTGATACAGTTATATCGAGGATCTGTGTGGCCTGTTGGGAAAGTATCTCTGGATTATCCCAACTATTTCTTTTAGACAGAAGCAAGATTAAACAAAGAGCAAACTGGTCAGTGACTTCTAAAAGTCTCCATGCTAAAACGACAACCTTTCATGTGCCAAGTTCTTAGAAATGCACTTTTTGTTGTCATGAGGTTTTGAAACGCTTAAATTATAATGGCTCTTTTCTTTCAAATCGCTTTTTGTGTATGCTTTGTTTTATGCATCTTTAAGTAGTTGCAGCACTTTTTAAAAAAAAATTTAATTAAGCAGTGAAGCAGTTTTGATCAAATATTTTTTCAAGAATTAAAAATAAATTATGCCAAATACTTTGACTATCCATACGTTCTTTTAGATCAAAGCATCCATTCAGTGGCTGAAGGGCGTTCTTGTTGAAGAACAGACTTGCTGTGTTCTTCATGAGTTCCTTACACACCATCTCAGAGCTCGCGGAGCCTGATGAGTCTCTGGAGCTTGCGTCTGGAGCTCAGAGCATCCCTCAGACCAGCAAAGACTGGAGTTTAACCCTCAAAGAGCTTCGGGTGCCTACTAGCCACCATGATAGACAGACAACTAAACGGACAAGCAAGTCACCGTCTCATAAGGTGCAAGTGTTTCCAACCAACTGCGTTAGCATTCATATAGAAGCACACTTAACCCAATCTCAGGTTAATTGAGTCATTGGATACCATCCTTCCACATTCATAATGAAAACATGATTACACTAAGTCAGTGGTTTTTAATCCTGGTCCTGGGGAGCCCCGCTCTGGACATTTGTCTCCCTTATTTGACACACTCAGTTCAGTTCCTGGAGTCTCTCCTAACGAGCTGATGATCTAAATCAGGTGTGTCATATAAGGCAGACATGCAACATGTGCAGAGACATGGGTTCCTAGGAACAGAGCTAAGAACCACTGCACTAAATAGTTTCAGTAATGAATCATGCTGTGATGTTGCAGATATTTAATTAGATTCTGCATGCATTATTAAATTTGAAATAAATACTGAATAAAAGGCTATTTGTAAATGTATCTTGTATCAGTCATTAAAAACATATACACAATACTGACTCACCTGTGTGTTTTCATTCATCCAGGCCAGTGGATGCGGTGTTTCTTCTTCTTCGCTCTGCATCTGATGATGTCCACAGGTGACCACGATCACCAGGTGAAGTGTGTTTGTAGCAGGTGAGATGGGTAACCTACAGGACGTGTGATACAGTTATATCGAGGATCTGTGTGGCCTGTTGGGAAAGTATCTCTGGATTATCCCAACTATTTCTTCTAGACAGAAGCAAGATTAAACAAAGAGCAAACCGGTCAGTGACTTCTAAAAGTCTCCATGCTAAAACGACAACCTTTCATGTGCCAAGTTCTTAGAAATGCACTTTTTGTTGTCATGAGGTTTTGAAACGCTTTTATACAATTTTTAAGAGAATGTTGCACTTGAGCAGCTGCACAACAATCTTAACTGAGCTAAATTATAATGGCTCTTTTCTTTCAAATCCCTTTTTGTGTATGCAGTGTTTTATGCATCTTTAAGTAGTTGCAGCACTTTTTTAAAAAAATTTTAATTAAGCAGTGAAGCAGTTTTGATCAAATATTTTTTTCAAGAATTAAAAATAAATTATACCAAATACTTTGACTATCCATACGTTCTTTTAGATCAAAGCATCCATTCAGTGGCTGAAGGGCGTTCTTGTTGAAGAACAGACTTGCTGTGTTCTTCATGAGTTCCTTACACACCATCTCAGAGCTCGCGGAGCCTGATGAGTCTCTGGAGCTTGCGTCTGGAGCTCAGAGCATCCCTCAGACCAGCAAAGACTGGAGTTTAACCCTCAAAGAGCTTCGGGTACCTACTAGCCACCATGATAGACAGACAACTAAACGGACAAGCAAGTCACCGTCTCATAAGGTGCAAGTGTTTCCAACCAACTGCGTTAGCATTCATATAGAAGCACACTTAACCCAACGGGTCGACTGCATCCACCTCTCAGGGTTAAACTGCTAAGTTAATGTATAGACCGTACAGAAATATCTAGCTAATAACTCATATCCAAATGTTGTGAGGAATATTTTTAAACGTTTCTAAAACACTAAAATGTCCAGTTTTCTTGTTGTGATTATAAACACTATGTAAAGGTTACAAAACATTTGAAAAACAAATGTTATACTAATTTAATTATTTTTTTAGCAAATGCACTTGTATTTTACATTTAAAAGCAAAAATAACGTAAAAGTTTAAATGCATGTAAATTAGAAATCAACATGTTTCAATGGCATGTTTTTATTTCTTCTGCTCTTGTGATATCATGGCGTTGTCATTACAGGCCTGGTTTGGGAATCACTGGTTTAGTCTGTGTTTCAGCAGGTGAATCTGCCGCAGTGGCTGGTGAATCTGATGCGAGACATCGAGGAGGCCACGACACATGAGCTCACCATTGAATGAAGATCCCTCAGACCGTGAGCTTTAACAGCCAACACATCTTCTGCTGAGCATTTCACCTCTCTTCACACCCGAGGTCATCATTTGTGTTTGTAATATTTAAATTAATTTTTTTCTGAAGTTTAATTCTCCATCTCTAGTGTACTGTTTTCGTTCTTCTTGCACAATCTATGACTGGACTTGTGTGTGTGTGTGTGGGTGGGATGTAAATGATTTGCTCGTGGCGTGTGTGAGTATAGGCACTGATGGACCTACAGCAATCCTGAAGAACATCAGCCGTGTTTGTTCAAGCACACAAACAAAGCTTGAACTCATAAGATGTGCTCCCCATTAAAGCTCGATTCAATTATTAATGCTACTGGAATCACAAATCTGTAGCGTCTGATGTCTTGAACTATTGGTTGACCTCATGCAAGAGATCTTAGTGTCCACCGTTGGACTAATACTACACCAGGAGCTCTTAATTACTGCACAGGCACCTCATGACAAACATGTTATGATGGCTGAAGACCTCAGATTAACCCGTCCTGTTATGCAATGACCATATGACCTTGTTTTTGTGACCCAACTCAAAGTGTGGTCAAAAACACATTGAGATATGCTCGCACAACTCCTGTTGTGTGACAGGCAAATGTGTGTTTACATGCTACGTTATTGATATACATGCTCAGAAATGAGACGACAAAAGCTGTCACTGGGGTGGTACCTTTTCAAAAGATGCAGCTTTGTACCGTATTTACCCCATAATACAGTAGTCAACATTTGAAGAGGATCAAAACCTTTCATCAAAGTTGTCCTAAAACCAAAATGTGTTCTTGTGTTAGGACAACCTTGATTTTTTTTTTTTGACCCACTTCAAATGTTGACTAGTGTAGTTGCATTTTAGCACTTGAAGTGTGTGTATTAGTACCTAAATGATGCATATTAGTACCATTTGAAAGGGTGCCATCCTAGTGACAGCTTTTGTATGTTTTTTTTTTTTTTTTTGAGAGTGTGATGTTGGACTCGACCAATGGCATGTGTTGGGGGCGTGGTTATCTCTTTATTATTATGAGTGATCCAAACTCAAAAGCTCTTTTTTTCTTTCTCCAGAGGAACCATGCAAAGATCCCTGTGAGGGGGTGATCTCAGGGACACCCATTCTAGCGTCTTCTCTTCCCATCTTCTGTGTGCATGTGACATTTGGGACAGAGATTAAACCCACTAACCCAGAGCTCTATCCAACCACAAAGTCGCAGCGCAGCAGGGCCCTGACTCACCTCTGTCATACACACATACACACACATGAATTCACACTTCCCGCCAACACACGGCCATCTGCTGCCTGAACACATTCCCCTCATGGTGTTCCTGCAGCACGTACGACTGGATCCTGCAGTCTGGCTTTTAACATGAAGATAAACAAATCTGAGCAGCGTATGAGCGGCAGGATGAAAGGCCTGTCTATTTAACAAGTTAATTTAGTGTGATTAACAATAATGAAAAAGGAAAAACATGCTTTCTTGCAATTAATCATGGCCCCTGACATGTTGGTGAATTTTGTAATGTAAATAAGGAGATTTCCTACTATCTGAGCAATTGCGAGTTTGCAGTCCTGTAACCACTTGTGATAACACACAAAAAAGCAAAAAAACGGCTTTCAAATATACTTCAAATTGCAATCTCACTACAAACATGACATCTTGAGCTGAATGCACTTTTTTTTCAAGATTTTTCAAGCTCGCTAAATTTGGGTTCAATCCAATTTTGCATTAATGCATTAAATTGATCAAAACTGAAGCAGAAAGCATTTATATACAAAAGATATGCATTTCAAATAGCTTTTTTTTTTTTTTTTTTTTTTTTTTTTTTTGAGAGTGCAGATGATAAACGGCAGCATCATGAACCTGTTTCTGGTGAAACGGGTCACAGATGTTGCGTCGCCCCATATTGCACACTTCGTCCTAGAGTAAATATTGACATCTGCGCAACCAGAGCAAACCTGTGCACTGAAAACAGCGTAATTAATACAGGCGAGCGGCGTGTCAATGATTGACTCCTCTGAGGTCATGTCACGGTATAAAACACGGCACACACGCACAGAGAGCAGATCTGACATACAGCAGCAGATATTGGCTTCAGCACATCTCTGGTTCTGCAATGAGAAGGCCTTGTGTGTTGGTGTTGTTGGTGAGCGTCCTCGTCTGTCCGGCGGATCTTTCTCCGGTGATCAGGCCTGAACCCATCCGCTGCGCTCCATGCTCTCAGGAGCAGCTGGACTCCTGCCCCGCCGTGTCCTCGGACTGTCCGGAGGTGCTGCGAGAGCCGGGCTGCGGATGCTGCATGTCCTGCGCGCTGAAGAAAGGAGAGTCCTGCGGTGTTTATACGGCTCACTGCGGTGCCGGCCTGCGCTGCGTCCCGAGACCCAGCGACCCGCGGCCGCTGCACGCTCTGACCCGCGGACACGCCGTCTGCACTGAGGACGACCGCACAGAAGGTGTGTTTCTCATCAGTCAGGACGTTTACATGGAAAACAATATTCAAGACAATACTCTGAATAAGAATCTACCGTGCAAACAAACTTCTGATTAACTTAATCCGGCTTAAATCATACTCGAAGTAAACACAAATCAGATTAAGACATGTGGAATACTCCTATTTCAGTCGCATTATTGAAGTGCAGTATAGACATGTACACACCTTAATCACACTATTACCGGCGTGTAAGATTTTCACCACATTTTGTGACCGCATACACACGTGGCAGTGCTCAACCGTTTGATGGCAAACAAAACCTCATAGCTTCAACAACGCCGTCGTCTGTTTGCACGTATGTGTCCCTGCAGCACAAAAGCAGTGTTGAGTCGCTGGGGGATATTTGTAGCAATAGCCAACAATACATTGTATGGGTCACAATTATACATTTCTCTTTTATGCCAAAAATCATTAGGATATTAAGTAAAGATCATGTTCCGTGAAGATATTTAGTAAATCTCCTACCGTAAATATATCAAAACTTAATGTTTGATTAGTGATATGCATTGCTAAGAACTTCATTTGAACAACTTTAAAGATGATTTTCTCAATATTTAGATTTTTTTGCACCCTCAGATTCCAGATTTTCAAATATTATCCTATCCTAACAAACCATACATCAGTGGAAAGATGATTTATTCAGCTTTCAGATGTATAAATCTTATGACTGGTTTTGTGTTCCAGGGTCACAGATATATTTTTTGGGTTCCCATTTGCTCAAATATCAAAAGAAAAACGATAGTTTTCACAACTTTCAATCAAAGGAAAAAAATTGAGAGAAACTGATAACGGCAGTCAGAATTGTCAAATTTACCGTCCCTCCCACAGACTCTGCATTAGAAACACCCTCGCATTAGCCTTAACTAGTTTTTTTGTAATTTGATACAATACAAAGTATAGCGTTATAGTAAACGTACGTCCTTTTTTAATCCAAATATAAAAAATTGAGGATTTACGGTGCTGATGACCATTGAAACGAAAAAAAGTGGTCATTGGTCACAGGACTCCTGTTTTGTTTCTAGATGACCCGGACATCACGTCTGACCAGGGCTCCCTGCAGCACCTGCTGAGCCTCAACCGGCCGCTGGACCCGCGGGACGCAGCGGAGGCACAGGAGAGCATCAAGGCCAAAGTCAACGCCATCCGCAAGAAACTGATCCAACAGGTACTGAACCCTGCTTCAGGAGAGAGCCTCACATTCACTGGCGGAAGCGGTTTCTGAATTGTATATAAAATGTTCATCCATTTGAATTACACTGTTTTAACATACACTAATGAACTTAAATGTTGCATATTTGTCACAGGGTTACTACAGTTAAACTACAACTATATGATTTTTTTCCACTTTAAATAAAATGTTATTTAAAATGTACTTGATGTACTAAAATAACAAACTTAAACGGAAATAAAAATTAATAGAAACTATATAGACACTTTAAAACAACAAAATTACTTTAACATCAATTTATTTTAAAATATTTTTTAAAAATCGAATTCAAATATATTAAAAAATATTTATCTATAGTTATATACTAGCAACACTGTTTTGTCAGTCATACAAAAAAAAAAGATGGCATAGTTTATTAATTTAACCTATTTGATTTTTTTTTTTAAATCATATTTTCAAAATTAATTTATTATGTTAAGAATCAACATAAATGTTCGTTGTGATGTCAATTAGCTATAATGTATGAGATGGAAACAAATTGGATTTATTGATGATAAATACATAAACCTGGTTATTGTGTATTTAAGACAATTCAGTTAATTAGTACTATTACAGAAATCAGTGCTGAATAAATAATTCTGTGTTAATCCAAATGGATGGATATGTAATTCAGATACACAGATCTTAAGTTTTGGCCTGATATATTTAAGTGTACTTGTCACTTGTGTTCCGCCAGTTGTTCCCAGGTTTGTATGTTTGGTTGACCCATGGCGTGTTTCTGTGATTTAGGGTCCGTGTCACACGGAGCTGCATGCGTCTCTGGATCTGATCACTGAATCGCAGCAGACGTTAGGAGAGAAGTTCACCAGCTTTTACCTGCCCAACTGTGACAAGCACGGATTCTACAAGGCCAAACAGGTGCGTGTCTGTCCCGACCGACCCAACCTGCCCTGAAACGGCACACTAACTCTTCTCTGTCTGTCAGTGTGAGACGTCTCTGGAGGGCCAGCCTCCCCGCTGCTGGTGTGTGTCGTCCTGGAACGGGAAGAGAATCGGTGAGGCTCTGGCGTCTGATTCTCCGTGTCCTCAGGAGCTCACGCACTGAACCAGAGCTGCAGATCACTTCACTTATGTACCATATTTATTCTTATGTATATGGCTCTTATGTGGTTAATATTTATGAACTAGTTTTTGACAGAATTCTACCAGAATGAATGAAACGCACTCGAGAACATGGTGTTTTACGCTCCACAATGACACAACAGTACAATATTTTATGACAAGTCTGTGATTCTGTCTCGGTCTTTGTTGGCTGTGGTTCTTCCTGACCACTTTAATTCAGTATAACCATTTTTGCACCGCAAATGTCCAAGGTGAACCTGTTTGGACACTGATAGTCTGTAAACCGTTTCATGTGTTTGTTTTCTGTAAGCTCAGTTTTAATTGCTATTTTATTTGATTATGTATTTAAAACAGATGTCTACCTCACATTAGACATGACGTCTTTATGGACTCCCTGAATGCATTTAAGAGTGCTGCTCTATTTATTCTGAAACCATTATTTTATTGGATGTAAATGTAATGTGTGTGTGTGTGTGTGTGTGTGTGTGTATAACCTCATGAATTTTTCAATAAATTGAGATTGTACAGATTGCAAAGGATTTTTAAGCTGTTGAACAATTTTGAACATTGTGCAGGATACCTCATAAGACCGAGAACACAAAGATCGCTGGATGAGGTGATATTACCTACAACCCTAGTGTGATCTCTAGTTATCTTGACATCCTGAGGTAGAAACAGAAAAGCAAATGGAGAATAATTAGTGTAGCTGATGCTTATAACAGTTCAAGCTAAACAGTCATGTGCATGCAGTGAGTTAATAAAATTAAAGGTGACCATGACATTTTGGTCATTGTGATGAACTTGCAGAGTTATATGTTAGCTGGAAAAGCTGCTCAATGTGACCAAGTTTCTGGATGTTTTGATCCGCTGAAGTATGCATTACCAAGGCTTCTGTTAACTAATCCTGAAGTTAATTTGCTGTGGCATAAAGATTTATGATGACGAGGGATTTGTGCAGAGAAAGGTCTGAAAGGTCCTGAATACTGCAGAGGGAGGCATATTATGGGACGAGTGTCTGAAAGCAGCCCACTCCTGTCATTAAAGATGGAAAAACATAATTATCTTCATTAAACCGGGTCCTTGGAGCTGGGTTTGGTCAGGCTCAGGATGTTTACTAATGTTATCACCCAACGCTGTCCTGTTTCTCTGGAGGTTGACTAGAAGACCTGCTAACCCTCACGGTCTCTCCACTCTGTTCCTCATAGTCACTTGTTAGCAATATTATTACTTAAAGAAGATGAAGAGGCATTATAGGTCAGTTTCTTTCTCATTATTTTTGCTGAGAAATGAAAAGCAATAAAGGTAGATCTTTGCCCAGCCTCTTTTGATCTCTATTTCTCTCTCTCTCTCACACACTCTCACACACACACACTCACTCACTCACTCTCTCACACACACACTCACTCTCACACACTCACACACTCTCTCACACACACTCACACACTCACTCTCTCACACACACACTCACTCTCACACACACACACTCACACACTCTCTCACACACACACACTCACTCACTCACTCTCTCACACACATACACACTCACACACTCTCATACACACACACACACACACACAAACAAACACACACACTCACTCACTCACTCTCTCACACACACACACACTCACACTCACACACTCTCATACACACCCTCACACACACACTCACTCTCTCACTCACTCTCTCACACAC